GTTCCTGCATTGGCAATCATGTCGAATCGCACGCTCGCAGATTTCAAGACCGTAGTGGCCACTTCTGCGGACTGCATCACCAGCACCATGGGGTAGGTGATGCCGCGTCTGCGACGGAGCCAGATGAGTCCACGCAGGATCCAAAGAAGCCAAATCAGGAAGATTAGCCATTCTTCGTGCTTGTCCAGAGTGTGCGCAAAGAGGTCCAGAAAGGGACCAAGCTCGAGTCCAGCTTCCTCTGCTATCCACCGCCACAGCTTTGGTCCACTGCCTGCAAAGCTTCCAAAGAAGGTGGTCTGACCCAGCACATCACCCATCGTGATATCCTTGCCGATGCATACCACTGGTGCAATGCTGTTGGCCGTCAACTCGTCCACCCCTCGGACAGCATTCTCTGCAGCCTGCTTCAGAGCGCAAACGCGAAGGATGGTCTTGTGGCGGATCTTTGGGAGGGAACCCTTCCACCAGTGCCTTGCGGTCGTCTGCCACGAAAGCATGAAATCGTACGAGCTGGCTTCGGGTGGCAGCATGAACGATCGTGAGGCGATGGGTGACGGCACTGAAGAGGCTTTTGACGGAGAGGAGGGTGACGTTGGCGAGAAAGAGGTTCGCAAGAGGGAGGTTGACGAAGAGGCAAGGGATGTTGACGGTGACATGGGTGAACGCGGCGAGAAGAGGGTCGACGGTGACGCTTGCGGGAAGAGATTTGACGGAGACGCAGAGGATGTCGACGGTGAGGCAAGAGACGTCAAGGGTGAGGCGAGAGATGTCGACGGTGACGCTCGCAACAAGGACAGGGACGGTGACACGGGCAACGCGGGCGAGAAGGAAGTGGATCGTGACGCTTGAGCGAGGGAAGTCGAAGGTGAGGGTGACACTGAGGTGGTCGACGATGACGAGATGGCGAGCTGATCCACGAGCTCCTTTTGAACCACAACAACAGGCGAGAGCACAAGCTGATCTGTCAAGATGCCACCATACCTTGCCGAGTTGAATGATCTCAACGGTGGCTCAAGGTTGATGAGCACTC